TCTCTCTCTCTCTCTCTCTCTCTCTCTCTCTCTCTCTCTCTCTCTCTGTGTGTGTGTGTGTGTGTGTGTGTGTTTGTTTGTCTGTATGTGTGTCTGTATGTCTCTGTGTCTCTATGTCTCTGTCTCTCTCTGTCTCTCTCTCTCTGTCTCTCTCTCTCCCACTCCCTCTGCCTTTTTCTGTCTCTACTCCCTAAACTCCCCTCCACATGCCTTAAATAAACTCTATTCTATACTATACTGGCCATCCGTATGACTGGTACCTCAGGGGGAAGGGATGCCTCAGCATGAACCTGCTGAGGCACCCCCTTCTCACACACTACATCAAGCCTCCACCAAACATACCCCTGACCTACCTCTTTCTCCCTCTCCCTCTCCCTCTCTCTCTCCCTTTCCCCCTCCCCCTCCCTCTCCCTCTCCCTCTCTTCCATCTCCCTCTCCCTCCCCCTCTCTTCCCTCTCTCTCTCTCTCTCTCTCTCTCTCTCTCTCTCTCTCTTTCTCTTCTCTCTCTTTCAATAAATCACAACACTGATGAGTTATGTTTACTAGTGAAGACCAGTCAAACCATGCAAGAACATGACCCTGTAAGCCTTGGAGATTATGACATTGAATGTACCCTACACATTCTCATTTCAGTATTAATTGTAGTAACATGACTTGGTCTAGTATTGAGTCATAAATTTTCTTGACGATTTAAAATCCCAGACACTGAAGTCTCAGATAATCACAACTCACAGGAACCGAGTCCCAGTCTCCAGTATCCTGGGCCTCAGTCACACCCAAAACTTGATGGCAATGAAAAAAACAATAGAGATTAGAAGACCCTGCCTTCTGAGCCTTTCTCTGCCCAGGTCTTGCTCTGTTGCCTGGATTCAGCTTCAAGATCTTCTCTAGGTTGTCATCTTCACTGATGTACCATTTGTCTGTTACCAGCTATGGAATGAAGTCCTGATTAGCTCAAACAAGATCTGGAAAGAAACATGCAGACTCATCTGAATCCGGAATCCACCCCCTCCACGCCCCCTCACGTGCTCGTGTTTGAATATGCTTGGCCCACAGAGTGACACTATTAGGAGGTGTGGCCTTGTTGGATGAAATATCTCCCTGTGGGGGTGAGCTTTCAGTCTCCTATGCTCAATCTTTGCCCAGTACGTAAGGAGAGCTTTCTCCTAATTGCCTACAGATGAGAGTCTCCTTCTACTGCCTTTGGAAGAACACTCAGTTCCTTCTCCACTACCTTATCTGCCTAGATGCTGCCATACTTCCCACCATGATGAAAACAGCCTGAACCTCTGAAACTGTAAGCCAGCCCAGTTAAATGTTTTGTTTTATAAGTGTTCTCTTGGCCATGGTGTCTCTTCACAGTAATGAAACCCTAAGACAACCACATTACATTTTACAAACCAAATTTAAAACTACATTTGTAGCATTAGGTTTTCTCTACCATCTCCTTCATGCAGGCAACTAATTCACAATAAAGAAGAAAGTCTCAGCTGCCATTACTCAAAGTTCAATGAAACATGGTGGTTTGGACCCTGGAAGAGTTCTGCAGCTGCTCCAGGGCCTGGGGGTTGATGATTCTGCAACTGCTCTAGGACCTAGGAGTTGATTGTGATTGTGCTGTTGTAGACAAGTATTGATCAAAAGCACAAGGGTGAAGGTGCATGAGTCATTATTAAGGTCGCCCTAGAAGGTACATGAGGGCAAAGGGCAGAGAAGTACACTCGTCATCTACATTTATTAAATATTTGAGATGGACTTTATGTACTTCAATAGTAAACAAATCCCAAAAATTTGAAGACAACGAAAAACTTCAAATCTCCCTCTGGATAGTAGTACCAATCCATTCAGAATCTCAGTTTCACAATTATGTATGTAGAGGAGAAAATGACACTTGTCAGTGTGGGTGAAATGTTTAGGACCATGCATTAAAACATAATGGCTACAGAATTAAAAACTATTTCTATATCAAAATTGTGTTTATTGTGGTTATATTGGGGTCATACATGCTACCCAAATAAATTTAACAAACTGTCAGTAGCCATTTATAAATAGCCAGGCGTGGTATTCATTATACAGATAAGTATTTTCATAGGTCAAGAATATGACTATTTTCGGAGACAGACACACCTGCAAACATAAATGTAAATAATGCAATCATCTCTGGCAGGATTACAAGAGTATATGATTGTGTAAAGTAAAATGAGTAATTTAGATAAGGCAACTTCTAAGAAACTTGAGAGTCAGAAAGACAGTGGACAGATTGGGCTGAAACTGTAAATCTGATGGTAAGATACAAAGCCATCATTGTTGGGAGGAACAAAGCTTGGTTTTCTTGCTTGGAATCCAGCAGTGTACAAAATGGATATATAAGTACACACACACACACACACACACACACACACACACTACCGAGTCCACTTAACATTGCTCATAAAAAAAAAAACATTGCTCATATATTCATCTGTACATGTGCCCATCTGAGGTTGGACTACTTATGTGGGAGCTTTTCCCTGGAAGAAACCAATTCTCGCACAAAGTCCCTGTTGACTTCCTGTAGCTGTAGGCGTGTAGGTGTCCACATTAGCATTGCATCTGGTGTTGCCATTATACTGGATTTCTTCAGGCAAACATACGGTTGAGATTTCTTGGGTGTATTTTCCTTGTTCTGGTGAAGGCACACTGATTTCTTGGGTACATTTCCCCTGTTCTGGTCAGGGCACACTGTCTGGCAGCAGGAGTTCTGCCCTCCATGTCCTACGATCTTTCTGCCTTTCTTCACATTCTCAGCTTTAGGTACATGTGTTGTATTACATATGTCTATTTCTGAGTTCTATTGAAAGGACTATCTGAGTTTACAAAGTCAAAAGGCATGAGGGTTTTGTTGTTTGTTTGATGTTTTTGGGTTTTATTCTTGCTGCAAAGAAGGGGCTGAGATAATGAAACCTAGGATCTGACTCTGAATTTAATGGGAATGAGATTAATCCTAGCATATTATGTTGATGTACACATGAGTGATACACTTTTTAAAGTACACGATAAAGGGATAAGAGCAAACCCGATAGTTATTTTCATGGATAGTTAGTACAAAAGGATTGGATGTTTCATCCCACTGCAGGATCTATGAAACATAGTAAGTGTGGCTATATAACAAAATACACAAAGTACACATTTTGGCTGCTAACCCATCTATAAGATGAGCACCATTTTTATTTTTACAAAGCCTGAGAGAAATGCCAAGAAGCATCTGAGACTAGAAGTAGCAGCCAAGAGGAAACAGTTGCACTGCAGTATCTCTGCAGAGGGCCTAGGGCTTGGTCTCTCACTCTGTAAGCCCACTTTAGGAAGAAAATAATGGATTGCCTACCTACACTCTTTGCTTCAGCCTTTGGTGAACGCCCAAGGAAGAGCAGTGTGTCCTGAGACTCCGGGTATGCAGGGACAAAATGCAGAGGCTTAAGGAGGGGCATGACAGACAACATCTGATCACGTGCCATCGTTTGGACACCTGAGCTGGCTCCTCCTGCTTTTACCCAGCAGCAAGTGTGGAAGTCATAGTTTGTGTTTATTTCTTCTCTTGTCTTTCCACCTCCACCGTTCCTTAAACAGTATTCATGTTATTAACATAATTTCTTCCTTTCATACAAATAGGATAGATATGATAGATAGATGATACATAGATGATACATAGATAGATGATAGATAGATAGATAGATAGGTAGATAGATAGATAGATAGATAGATAGATAATTTAACTTGATTTCTATTCTAAATGAAACTAACTATTCAAGCTCCAAGCAAATATTTATTTAAAATGAGAAAACAAATGTTAATCAACATAGTTATAAATGCTAAAAATGCTACATTTTATCTCAGTTTCCATTTTTTGCTTCTGCTTCGGTGTTTCTGTCCTATTACACATGAATTTCAGTATAAGCAAGAATAAGAAGTTGAGACATACAGGAGAATCAATTTAGTGAAATTTATATTTTTATTCCATTTTATTGAGCAACAGAATGAGACTAACATAAACAGGCATCTCTCTCTCTCTCTCTCTCTCTCTCTCTCTCTCTCTCTCTCTCTCTCTTTCTCTCTCTTTCTCTCTCTTGTCTTCTGGATGGATACAGGCAAGAGCTATTTTATTAGAACAGACTAAGGCTATTTCCAGCTGATCAACTACACTGGGCCAATGCTTGCCAGATACATCAATATAAAAGGGAAATGCGCATTCCCAGCATAAATCTATCTGTCTTAATTATGTTACCAACAATGTACAACATGTAATTAAAAGAACACACAGACACACAGATAAACCAAGCACAGATTTTTTTTAATTTTAAAGAAATAAAGCAAATAGACCCAGGAACAGAGATAGGCTTAGAATAGTGAGAAATCATTTAAAAACTTTAAACTTTAAATCAACAAAATGATTTAAAATCAGTATAATTACTGGGGTTAAGAATCTGGTAGAAAGTGAGCAATATACCTGGGCAATTATAGACTTTAAGGAAGAAAAATGGAAACAAACAGAGCCAAATGGTGATTTTGTGTATGAAAATCAAAGCATTAGTGATAAAGAGACTTTCTTTATCACTAATCACGTGCAAAAGATAGATGCAGAAAAGACAACCAAGAGGAACAAATCTCCTTCCATGAGTGAGTGACATCGATAGTTAACCATGTGACAAGGTTGACTATAATGTATTTGGGCTCCCAAAAAGAACATAGAAAGAAAGAAGAACTTGCAGATGGCGAGCTGACTGTACTGAGTAGCCAGCCTACCGCCCATGGACTAGGGCCCTCCACCCAGTTGAGGACTACGAATCGTCTCTGATTTCTCATTTTCACCTTCTTCCTATGTCCACTAGTAGAAGAGATACCATGTTAGTGGCAGGCATCGGCCAAGTTCTACTTGATTAACACCCCCTGAGTAACTTAAGATATCTTGAGACAAATATGGCAGTTAGACAGGGGACACTGGAGCTTCTTAACTATTGGTCGTCCGACGTCCTTCATTCTCTTGTTCCTTTGTGTCTTCAATGAAAAGTAATAAGAAAGGAAGGATACAGGTTTTGGTGTGTTAGATTATAATACAGTCATTATGTCTGTGTTGGGCGGCCAGTTCCATCAGGCGTTGATGCTCCTGTTCAAGTGCTCTGAGCTGAGCTTCCTGCATTGCCTTGATCCTGTCAGCCTCTTCCTAAGAAGCAATAAACATAAACAATGAAGCTTAATGAAAAAAAATCCCTAAAATCAATCTCTGTTCTCATTCCTAAACCGTTGGCTTTCCCATACTTAATCTATTGTAAAGTAGACAATCCCTGAAAAGCTCTCTTCCTTCAGTATGTGTCGCTTACCACGTTCTATCATGAGCTTCATCCTTTTTCTCCAGTTTCAGACATAGCATATTTCAATCTCTGACCTGCTAGTGTCTTTAAAATTCTATCCCAATGCAGCCTTCTTCCTTAGACGGAAAAATCTCCTTGGTAACCTCAGTGACATATTCCCTTCAGTTCTCACCTACACATGGAATAGTGGCAGATATTTTTCTACAAGAAGAGACTGTATCCAGAGCACTGAGGTGACAATCTGCCATCCAAAGTGTCTGACCTAGCTGAAGGGTAGGGTGGGGTCGCCACACTTTGATTGGTAAAAGTGATTGTCCACTCTGACTTTCGGGAAAGCACTGGGATGTCAAATATATGTTAGAGTAGCCCCTGAGAAAGCTACCACCAGAAGAAGCACTCACAAGTCAGGGAATGGATGAGGACAGCTTTGTAAGACTGATAACTAGGAATTTCACAGCATCCCTGCAGAAGCCACAATGCTGAAGTTCCCACCAGCAAGTCTGCATCTGGCTGATTTTTGTGGGAAGTCACAGAATTCACCTGAGTGCTAGGGACACAATAGTTCTGCTTCACAGTGATTAGATCAGAGAATGCCTATGAAGGACTTTGTACCTGATAAATCATACCTACTGCTTCCTAAGTGCTGAAGCCATGGGTAAAGACCAGACAGGAATGAAGACACAGACCATGAACCTCATGTAAAAAAAAAAAAAAAACAACAACAACGACGACAACAGCAAAAACCCACCACGATCCAAGACACGTGATTGTCCAGAGCAGAGATAGTTAATGTGATCAAGAAATGCCTCCACTTATTTAATAACTGATTATGCACACTGTGTGCCAGACATCAGTCTAAATGCAAATATTAGTGCATTTATTATAACAGTCTTGTAAAACACATGTTGTTGCTGCCTCTACACTACTGTTGTGCCAGGAAACATTCATGAGCCGAGTCCTAGGCAATTGCATTAGGGTCTCTATTCTAGCTCAAGCTTGGGTTCCCCGCCAACTCTGACCCAGCAGGAAGGTGGAGCTCTGAACCCAGTTTTAGGCAAGCATTTATAGAGTTAAGAAGGGGTTATCTAGTCTAATACACATCTGATTGGGGGGGAGCATTATGGTCTTTAACATAATTGGCTGGTGCTAGGAGCCATAAACTTAACTTCTGCTTTTTTTTTTTTTTTTTTCTGATTGGTGGTTGTTAAGAAGTGAAGTGTTGGGGCAGGGTATAGATTTGTTGAAGAATAACCTGGAAATTGGTGCTAGATGCAGGTTTTTTGGCGGGGTGGGGTAGCCTGGAAACTGGTGTTAGGTGTCGGTTTGTTAATGAACTTGAGTTCAACCTTAAGTCAGGTTCTGTAAGATAGAGTCTGAACCCAAAAGATATGGGTCTCTCATTCCTCCCTTTCTTGGTTAACTAGAAGGCCCAATCCTGGATTCTGGAGCTCACAGGCTTTGTCATCTAGGTTTTGGAGGGACTGATAGTGACTCTTTAGGACCATATGCTGAATATTTTTAAGTTTCTCTAATGTTTAGTAAGGCCCTCTCTCATTTTGGCCATTGATTTTCTGACTATCTCTGCATGGAGCCTAGAGACTCTTGGAGGTGGGACATGCTATCTCATACATAGCATAACTAGTCATATCTTAGAGGGGGTCAGGATTGTCATCACTCAGTTTTCATGATGGCCCTGCAGCTTGGGTCATCAGGGGGAGAGGCTCATCAGTGGGAGACAGCAGGAGTCCTGAGGCTGTTTTCTCCTGCTGGTCAGGTCATCTTCAACTACCAATGGATGCATGGTGGATCTATGGCTGTAATCCTATCAAACTTCAGGAAAATGGATAGGGTCAAGATGATAACACAGGAATGTTTTAATGAGATTTTAATGACCCCTGGCTGGAGGGAGACCTGTTTTATAGAGAACATGAAGTTTAGGCCAAACATGTTTATGCACCTATTGGATACCTTTGAGATCATCTAGCAACTGACGAGATCCTTGAATTCAGGGATGACCTCTGCTTGTATGTTAAGGACACTGGGGGAGGGGGTATCCGAACCATGATTTTAAAAGGGGTGAGTCCCAACTGTTAATGGGAGTTTCATACCCTATAGATAGTGAAGGGAAGGAGAGTTAACTTGGTCATTGTCAGTCTCTTAGGTTAATTTAGTTAAAGTCTCTTTTAGGGTTTTGTTTATTTTCTCTACCTATCCTGAACTCTGGGGTCTATATGCACAATAAAGTTCCCAATCAATCCCCAGAATATTGGCTGATCTCTGACTTGCCTGGGACACAAAAGCTGGTCCACTGTCTGACCCTATCATCTGAGGAAGCTCATACCTTGGCAGTGTGTCCTCTGACGGCTTCTTTGTCACTGCAGATGTAGTTTTATGCTTGGTGGGGGAAGCCTCAGTCCAAACTGAAAAGGTATCTATAAACATCAGTAAATATGTATATCTAAATTTTCTTGGTTTTACCTCTGTGAAGTCTGTCTCTCAGTCGAGTCTAGGCTTTGTGCCTCTGAACCAGTTACCATGGTTCTTCTCATTACTCATCCTATTAGTTAGCTGACAGGTGTCACAGTTCTTGACAATCTCAGCTATCTTTGAGATGGCATCTCTAATCCTTTACTAGCAAATCCTGTATTATCTAGATGCCCATATGGGAAGGGCAGCAGATTTTCTGAGTATGTGTAGTCCCATTTCTTCTGGCACAATGCGTTTGTAATCTGCTGTTCTCTATCATCCACTATAACAGTGGGACATGGGCAAACTTCTACTCAAGGTTATGTCATCTTTTGAATGCTTAGGATGGTCAGGGAGTATAGGGTCCCTTGGGTGCAGGGAAGTGAAGGGCAAGAGAGATTGTTGGCCTCTGAAACTGGGTCTTTTCCTTGCTGATGTCCCAAGCAATGGATGATGGCCAGCATTTTCAGCACCCATAGAGCCCTTAGTAAGGAGAGAATTTTTTTCTTTATTTTTGATAGTCTTTTCTTCTGCTGTCAGAAGGCCTCCCTATATATAAATAAGTCCATGGACATGAGAGGTAGCAAAGGTCTTTTCCCAGCTCTAACTCCTTGGTTAGAGATACAAGTTCAACTTTCTGTGCTGATGTTCCTGCCAGGAGTGGCTCTGCCCATATGGTCTTGGTGTTTCAGACAACTGCTGCCCAGCATATCTCTGTCCATTCTGAATAAAGCCGTTGCCATTGATGAACTGTGCATCCATCAAGGAGGTATCCTGAAGATCTGCTCTGATCCCATGGATATGGGCTAAAATATCCAAGCAGTCATTCAGAGGCTCATCAAGGTCTAGGTCAGACAGCAGGGTAGCTAAGCTTAGGGTAGCTGGACCCAAAAGTTTATCTTAAAGGGGTTTAAGAGGAGAGACTGGTAATGAGTCATTCTGGCATTGATAAGGCTTTGAGCCAGTGACAGTTTGTCAGTGTCCTTAACGAGGAGGGCTCTGGGTGCCGAAATGCTCAAACCAGGGAGGGAGACAGCCTCTGGCAACTGGGTCTCAGATCTCATCCATGAAGCGATGGAAGGGCTTAGTCACTTCTGGTAAGCCTAAAGCTGGTGTAGAAATTTCTTTCTGGCTTCAGAGACCTATCTCTAACCTTCTCTTAATACATTTCCCCCAGATCTAGGGAGGTCACCTGTGGTTTGCAGAGCAGGGCCTTCTTAGAGTAGGCTCGATAGTCCAAATTTTCCAGGGCCTCTTTGAGGCCTTTTTGGGCATTTTTGGTTGTTTTTTACTGCCACCAGGAGATTATTTATAAACTATTGAAGAGACTTTATCTTCAGGTTTTAGCAAGACAGAATGTTGAGCTCTATTATCAACAAGGAAGCAGATGGGTTTTCTTTTCTCTTCCAAGTAAGGAGCGTTTTCTATCCTTAGGGCCTCCCTTACCTCTTTTTCTAGAAGTCATTTGTTTCGGATGTCTTCTATGGTCCTCTGGTTCAACCGTGGCTGCCAACAGGATCTTTGCCAGATCCTGAGTGTGATGCTTCTGCTCCTTTCTATTGTCATTTCTGTTTGTTTCTCTGCCCTCAAATGCTTTTCCTCTTCATTTTATTATTATTATTATTATTATTATTAATTATTATTATTAAACATTTTCTCTGCCACTATCATTAAATCTCTCAGACTTTTTTTTTTCTTAACCTCTCAACCCTCTGGAGCTTTTTCTTACTATCTGGTACAGTCTGATTGATCAAAGCTACAGCTACTGCTTCCTTTGCTCTGGAATGTCTCTATGAACCTTTCTAAGAAAGCTGCAGACCTCTCCTTATTTCTCTGACTAATCCCTTATTTATCTTTGGCCAGATTGTTGGGCTGTCTTACAGCTGCTTTGAGACCTGCCAATCAGCACCTGGCAGTAAGACTTAAGGTCTCTCCTTAGCTTTAGCAGTGTTGAAGCCCTCCTCTGGGTGGTCTTAAGGGAAAGTCAGCCTCAGTAGCTGCCTGGTTGCTGGTGCGTTCCCTAGTGGGGCCAAGAACCAACCTCCTGGCCTCTGTCTGTGAGGAAGAGAATCACAAGAGCTGTTGGCCATCATGCCAGGTGGGCTGGTGGGTGAAGAGGAAGATCAAGAGATTGATTACTGAAAAGAGGGGGACTCAGAATGCCTTCTGGTCCCACGTGGCCATGGTCCCCTAGCATGTGTGTTTTAATCTGGCCACAGATATAAGGCTTTTTTTCAGAACAGAATTATGGATATGGCACCACTCAGAGTTTACAAACAGACAAAGACACAGATAGGAATTAGCATACATAAACACATGGACAGACTCACAGACTCAGACAGATATTACTCAGACAGATATTACTCAGACAGATATTGAGACCTTCTGAGCCAGGTCCTGGAGGTCTTGGAGTTCTTAACCAATGCACCAAAATGTTGTCAGGAAACATTTATGAACCCCCAAAAGACCACCAAGGAGCTGATTCTGAGGCAAACACATTAGGGTCTAGCCTCGAATTTGTGCTCCCTATCAACCCTGACACAGCGGGAAGCTGAAGCTCTGAGCCCAGTTTTAGGTGAGCATTTATAGAGGCAAGAGAAGGGAGTATCTAGCCTAGTACACATCTAATTGGGGAGGCCCATCATGACCTTTAACATAATTGGCTGGTGCTGCGAGCCAAACTATAAACTTAACTTCTGCTTTGGTTCTGATTGGTGGTTATTAGGACGTGAAGTGCCAGGGGCAGGCTTGTAACCTTGGGATATAAATTTGTTGAAGAATGACCTGGAAACTGGTGTTAGATGCAGGTTTTGTTGGGGGTGGGGAGAAAGGTAGCCTGGAAGCTGGTGCTAGGTGTCAGTTTGTTAGTAACTTGAGTTCAACCTGAGGTCAAATTCTCTAAGATGGAGTCTGAACCTAAAAGATTTGATCTCTCACACCAAAGTACAGATAAAGGGGACAACTTGCATAAATGTGTTTGGAAAAAGTCATGCCTGGGATTACCGCCCCACACTCTGGCTCCAGCATCAATGCCCTGAGCTGTCTGTCACATAAGCCCATCCCTCCCCATGAGACATCAGACTGTCACCTTGACAGATGGGAGAGAGGTGTGCAGCTGAGTAACATCTGAGAGGAAATAGTCCACAAGTACCTTGACCCTCTGCTCCCGGATCCTCCGTTGCTCCCTCTCAAAGTTTGCTCTCTCAGTTTCCATCTGCCTCACTTGCTCTTGATGCTTTCTCTCCTGCTCTGCTCTCCTTTGCTCTTCCTGGATGCGAATAGCCTCCAGCCTCTTTGCTTCAGCCCGGGCAGCCTCTGCTCTTGCTTGTTCCTCTGAAGAGAAAGGAACACAACAAATCTCTAGGATTAACAAATACAGTGCTCTCTGGTTGCAAATGCAGACTGTTCTAGTGTTAGCCTTCCTGTACATCATGCATGGCCTCCATTTCCCACTCACCTTTCCTCTGCCTCTCTTTGGCTGTGAGAGCCTGGTCTGTTTGTAGAACTGTATTGCTCACTGTTTCTTTGGCATTCAAATATTTCTGCAGCACTTCCTCAGCCTGGAAACCCCAAAACATGCTGTTAGAATTAGAAAATGCTAATTTGTAACCTTTATTTCTTCTCTCACTATCTCTCCTTCCTGGGAGATCCTCAGCCATTACATGATGAGACTGTCCATCAATTCTCATGCACAGAAATGATGCTAGCCTGGCCAGTCACAGCACCCAGGAACGTTATAGGTACCAGTCTTATTTCCAGCATCCATATTAGATTTTTAAGACACCCAAATTTTAGTGTTTTTATGGATGCTGGAGCAGATCTGCGTGCCTCCTCTGAGACATACATCTCTAAGAGCAAGTGAAACTTGGGACATGTCAGAGCCATTTGCTTTTGTTTTTGTTTTTTTTTTTTCTCAGCAGGTAAAGGAGCTGCTTATAAACAAAGCCAACAATTAGGAAAACAAAACATAGAAATGAAGTAGAAGTTAAAAATAAATAAAATTAAGGAAAATGAATTACATCGTTTGAACCCTGGAATGCATCTACACGTGGACTAAAAGCCTTTTAAGCCAATCAGTTTATCGATTTCCTTAAACCGGCTTCACTAACTGAGATTCTGCCTTGTATAATCCTGATTAGTCCCTTTGATGTTCATGAACATTGATGTCCACAACAGAAGTCTGACAATCACAGCGATGGGTTGCTGTTATCTACAGCTGTCGCTGAACCACAAGCTCTCTCCCATAAAACATCTGTGCCAGGAGCACGTTCAGGCAACAGAAGAGAAACTCATGGACAGAGACATAGAGTACATCACTTCACTTGTACCGGGGATGAAAGATACCTGTGTTCCCTTCCCTGGCTGCTGACGGTACTGTGCCTTCAGCTGTTCCATCCTCTGAAGGTAGAGACTGTGGCCTCCTGGTTTAGCATAGATCCCTTGTGCCACTTCTTGTTCCAGAGGTTTAAAAATATTCTGAAGTATGGTTGAACAGAGGGCTGCAGAAGCATCCACATTCTTCTTGCAAATCTCGTCCTGCTTTGCACGTAGTAGGCTCTATACATGGACCAAAACAAAACAAGTACAAGCGAACAAAGAAAAACATGGAGATGTTAGATAGACTTCGGCGTTTCTGAGAAATATTTTTTCAAAAGAATCTACATTTTATTTTCTTAGAAACTTAGAGAATGTACATAAGATTGTATCCTTACCAAAGCTAGAAAAGTTGTAAGAATAATAATCTGAAAAGTTATGTTTCTTTGGCATTAGAAGTTTCTTCATTTTTAAACAGCAGATTAGCTAAGTTGTTTTATTAGGGGAAAGTGAGAAAGAACTTATGTGAGTACAACACCCTGTCATGTTGTTTTTAATTCCTTCATAACTTGACATTTTCCTACATTTATGCAGGGAGGTTCACTCATGTTTTTCACCATAATATCCTCTCACCTTTTCTCCTTCAACCATGGAAACCCCTCTTACTGCCAAGAAGTCACTCTCCATTAGTGTGTGTGTGTGTGTGTGTGTGTGTGTGTCCCACTGAATTTAGTTGAGGTAACTTTGAAATTCTTTTCTCAAGAAATTATTAAAACTTAGATGTGATTTTATGATTGCAGAACTCTAACGGGCACCATAATTTTAAATGGAATCAACTGTATAACATTTTTTTCAGATTTTTTTACCTCAAAGCGAGTGTGAAATTGAATCACAGTCTGCACCTGCTTATTCTATTAATCCTACATTTATTGTATCTTAGTAGATGTGAAGGCAATTCTGTCAACTTCATCAATAAAGCATAAATACTTTCTTAATGAAGATCTTCAGTAAAGTAAAGTAAATTTCATTTTTTTTATGAGGAGAACATAGTACAGGTGAGGGGAGGTGTGTGTGTGTGTGTGTGTGTGTGTGTGTGTGTGTGTGTGAATGTCAAGAGCCTTAAATAAACTCAGACCAAAGGCCACATAAGTGACTGTCATCTCTTTCCAGTCTAGTGGTAACTGATTGTTTTTATTAGTTCTACTGTATATCTTGCAGAAGTATTCTTGCTGTCTGTGACCCTGATGTCTATAAACAAATACAGAAAATAATAACCTCCAATTCTTTCTGGAAACATTGGTCCTCATCCTTGAAAGAATGCTTCCTGAAGATTCCTATGGCCTCTGTCTCACAGGTCCTGTGCAGGTCCAGCAGCACCTGGAGGGTCTCTGTAGGCAGCTGCACACTCTGGCTCATCAGCTGGTCATAGTGAACAATGGCCTTCTGTACTGCTGCTGAGTTCTCTCTCCGGGCCAAGGTTACCACCATGTTCTCTATGGAAGGCAGTGTCCCACTGTTGATGGCATCAACATAAGTCAGCACCAGGCTTTCTAGACCTTCAGAAAAGGAAAAGATTTTTGTATCATGTGCAGGAGTCTAAGAGCTATATGGAGTCGTTCTGACAATGCTAACTATGTATTGCCTGAAGTCTTACAGTATTCTGGACAATATTCAAATGGTCTAAAGGAATTCTCTGAAGAACTATGTGATTAAGAAGACAGGTTCTTCTTTCTTTGAGGAAAAACATACATAAACAACAACAAAAACATAATCTAGTCTTTGTTGAAAGAAGAAACATAGAAGAATTCTCGAGATCTATGTGGCGGCCTGCATTTTCTCCTCCTCCATAAATAAATAAGATGATCATATAAAAGCTGTGAATATTTATTTGATTAAAATGCTTTAGGTCTTTGCTTCTTTTAGTTTCCTTTCCCTTTTCTTTCTCTCAGTTTTCTATTTTGTTCACATCCCCCACCCCAGTTGTTTTATTTTATCACAGTTAAGGTGGTATGAATAAATTTCCTCTGTAAATAGGATTCAGTGATCTAGATCTTATTCTTCACTGGAACTGCCTTGTTGTTTTTTTTTCCTTGCCAGCTTCTGCAGGACGGTGACACAGATTCCTTTCATGTTATTAGTAAGCATTTGCCAAGCTCTAAATCATGGGGTTCTTAAGATAAACTGCATTAAGAAGTTTGAATAGTCATCTTTCAAGATCCTAAGCAAATATGGGGTTTTCTTCAATATCTGTGCCAAGCAAACTCTGTTTCTACTTCGAACATGTATGTATTTATCTTACCTTATTTTATCTTATCTTGTTGCGATAATATCAAATACTATGTCACATAATAAAAAACCATTATATGCTGTGTAAATATGGTCAACCAGGTAAGTTAATGTGTTTCAAGAATAAAAGCTTCTCTAATTTGACAACTTTGTTCTTATTAAATTTGATGTAACTCTGAGGTTTTAATAAACTGATACCAGAGGTATGCTTGATACCTGCTGTAACTTTGTCACCACGGTACATTGGATTTCCATCATGGTGAATACTGACCCATTTGTCAATTCATCAACAAAGAATCTCTCTGTGTCCGTTATTCTTTATGATGAGTTACACTAATATCTTTTTAAAAGTACTTACGAGGTCCATTGACCTGGATGCCTCCTGGAAGAGTCTTGGTCTTAGAATGGGTGAAGATGTGAGAACAGAATTCTGAAAGGTCCTGCACAAAATCAGGATTCAGCTCCTCACTACTGAGCATTTGAAGCTGAGAAAGCTTATTGCCACGAGCAGGAAAGTCAAAAGCAAAGCATTTCTTTACTGGGAAGAACTTCTGAATGCACAGCCGGGGTAGATTGTATGTTTGTGTTCTTTCATCACTACCTGGAGGAGGAAATACAGAATTTATCTAGAATATAATTTATATCCACCTTAATCTATTTGCTTTAGATAGATGACCTTTCCCCATGACATTGCATAAAGATTAAAAACTAACTAGCAAAGGAAACAAAGAAAAAGGAGAGAAATTTGTTCAATAACTGAGGACTAATAGAATTTAATATTGAACATCTTAGTTCACTGTCAATTAAATAATCACTGCTATTATTTGTAGAAGTGCTGGGAGGGTACATGTGGAAAATGATATACCTAGCTGCACTATAAAAAAAAAATCCTGGATACTTTTCTTTTCCCCAAACTGAAGCTCTGTTACCTTGCTTCAGCTTCAGCGAATTCTCCAGATATTCATCTGATGTGATGGTATGCCCATTGGCTTCCAGGCCCAGGAAGAAATCTCTCAGAGTCCACACCAAGTCTGGGAAGAAGCTCACGTCATCAGGATCCTCAGTTTCATTAGGATCAGAGGAATTTCTTGTCCGGAGCAGATCTGTCAGTTCTGTCACATTGCTGAGACACAGTTGAGGAAAGCTGGCATAAGTGGGGGCTTGCATCTAACACTTCTTTAAACCTTTTCTACATGACCTGAATCAACCGTGCATCAATGACATGCATGAGGGTTCTTTTCTTTGTTTGTATTCCACATCATGTTTTAACGCGGATGCATGTGTGTGTGTGCATGTGTGTGTGTGTGTATGAATGTGTGTGTTGTACATATGTGTTTGTGTGTGTGCACTTCTGGGTATGCAGAGGTACGTATCTGTTGAGGCCAGACACTGGTATTGGGTATCTTCTAATACTCTCTACCTTGTGTTTTGGGACAGAGTCTTTTCTGAATGTGGAGCTATCTGATTGGTTATACCTTAGTAAACCCTGGGAACCATCCTGTCTGTCCACACTCAGCCTTGGGGTTATAAATATACACTGCAATGCCTTGTTTATTGTGTGGATGCCATGGATCCAAACTCATATCCTCATTTTATGTGACAAAGACTGAGGCCTTGTCACACAAGAATTTCACTGACGGAGCCATCTCCTTACCACCTGTAATTTAATTCTTATTGTTTACAAGGTCTCACAGGTGCATAGGTGGCATGCTTTCTCCATCCCGGTGCTGTCCTGGACCACAAAAGGATACTGCAGTAGATCGATAGCCCCCTGGTCAATCTTGTTCATGGTGTTGTATACAAAGGTGCTACTGAGGAGGATTGCCAGTGCGAAGATGTTCGCGTCACTCTTTTCATCAACCTATAAATGAGAACAAATTTGAAGCATGTCTCAAGGCATTCTTAGGTGAGTATCACTAAAAATAACATGTTGATATGCAAATGTTAAACAAAACAAAAATATTTGCAAGTATGCATTTTGCATGCGTTTCTCACCAGTAATTTTTTAATCGACCTGTTCATTGCAAACTCACTAGTCTTTCTTTTAATGATTCTTAGGTAGTTGGAAAATGAATATAGTTAGTGGATAGCTAATTGTTTATATTTATATTTAATGCCTAAAATACATAAAACTAACGTTTTACAGGAGCAAAACATAATTTATATGCATGATATATATATATATGTACATATGAATGTACGTATGTATATATGTGTGTATATGTGTATGTATGTATGTATGTATGAACACATTCCCCAGAAGCAGGTCACTTACTCCAAAGACAGTGCTGTGAAATGAGTTTATAACTGTTTTTTTCCATGTTGCAGATGAGTAAATCAAATTATGGCTTGTCATCTTTGAATCTTAACAAATCAAACAAAATTAAAAAGAACAAAAAAACTCTCTCACAATGGACACTCAAGAGAAAGATCTGGCTATGTCCCAGAACCAGCTCACACTGGTTCATAAAAGGCACATCTCCCCAAATGCAAGGAGGATTCTGCATCGGAAGTTTGAACTCAGTGGTGACAGGAACATTTAGGAAAAAATCAGGTGCTACAGACTGAAGTGCTGTATTTGTGATGAGGGGTGTGTTCAACGATTACCAGCGTACAACAGGAGGATGCCCGTGTGTCTACTGTTCTCATAATAAGTCAGAAAACAGAAACAAAGAGAAATGGGAAAACATTTGGGGAAACTTTCTCCTTTGGCCAAAATCATGGGGCTGCAGGTACTACAAGCACGATTTAGGCAACTCGATCTACGCGGTCACCAACTATTAGGCCATGTTCTCTGCAGTGCTGGGTTTGTGACAGTGACTTTAATCCTACTATGTTTAAGTACCTTGGAAGTATTTAGTATCCCCCCACCCCCACCCCAGTGCTGATTCTGCCTTGTCAAGATACTTTTTCATTGTTTGCATCCAAACTCTGACTATTTAAAAGTGGGGAGAAAAGTGCATGGTGTTGGCATTTAGTCTAGGCTCTGTCCCACAGTTACCTGGCAACAGCCAGGTGTGCCTGTGTCTGACTAGCTAAAGGGGCTGCTTTCCCCCTCCTCTCTCTCTTGCTCTCTTGCTCCCACCCCTTACCCTCTCTCTCCATTCCCTTTCTGCCCCTCTCCACATGCTTCCTCCTCTTCCTTCTCTTCCTCCTCCTCCTTCCTCTATCTCCCTCCTCCCTCTCTCTCTGCCTCTCTCTGTCTCTACTACCCTCTCACTCTCCTCCCCATGCTCTGACTCACTATAAAAGGGGTTGCTTGTCCCCTCCTCTCCTCTCTCCCTTGCTTTCTTGGCTTGCTCCTGCTTCTTACCCTCTCTAGACCCATTCCCCTCCCCCTCTTTCCATATGCTCATGGCCAGCATCTACATCTATCCTGCTCCAGCTCTCTCTCTCTCT